AAAGACCTATACAATGAAAACTACAAGACACTACTGCAAGAAACCAAAAGAGACCTGCATAAGTGGAAAAACATACCTTGCTCATGGATAGAAGACTCAACATTGTGAAAATGTCAATTCTACTCAAAGCGATCTACAGATACAATGCAATCCCGATCCAAATTCCACCGGCATTTTTTAACGAGATGGAGAAACAAATCACCAACTCCATATGGAAAGGGAAGAGCACCCAAATAAGTAAAGCATTACTCAAGAAGAAGAACAAAGTGGGAAGCCTCACACTACCTGATGTTAGAAACTATTATACCACCACAGCAGTCAAAACAGCATGGTACTGGTACAACAACAGATACATAGACCAATGGAACAGAATTGAGAATCCAGACATAAATTCATCCACCTATGAGCAGCTGATATTTGACAAAGGCTCAAAGTCCGTTAATCGGGGAAAAGACAGTCTCTTTAACAAATGGCGCTGGCATAACTGGATATCCATCCGCAAAAAACTGAAACAAGACCCACACCACACACCATGCACAAAAACTAACTCAAAACGGATCAAAGACTTAAATAGAAAATCGAAAACAATAAAGATCATGGAAGAAGAAATAGGGACAACACTAGGAGCCCTAATACATGGCATAAACACAATCCGAACTACAAGTAACAATGCACAAGTACCAGAAAAGAGACTATACAACTGGGAGCTCCTAAAAATCAAACACTTATGCTCATCAAAAGACTTCACCAAAAAAGTCAAAAGACAACCTACAGACTGGGAAAAAATTTTTGGCTATGACAAACCTGATCAGCATCTAATCCTAAAAGTACAAGATACTGCAAAACCTCAACAACAAAAAGACAAATAACCCAATTAAAAAATGGGCAAAGGATATGAACAGGAACTTCGCCAAAGAAGATATTCTGGTGGCTAACAGACACATGAAGAAATGCTCAGGATCATTAGCCGTTAGAGAAATGCAGATCAAAACTACAAAGAGATATCATCTCACCCCAAGAAGGCTAGCGTTAATCCAAAAAACACAAACTAATAAATGCTGGAGAGGTTGTGGAGAAACTGGAACACTTATATACTTTTGGTGGGAATGTAAAATGGTACAACCACTTTGGAAATTGATTTGGCGCTTCCTTAAAAAGCTAGAAATAGAAGTACCATATGATCCAGCTATCCCACTCCTTGGATATATCCTAGAGAAATAAGAGCCATCACACGAATAGAGATATGCACACCCATGTTCACTGCAGCACTGTTGACAATAGCAAAAAGATGGAAACAACCTAGGTGCCCATCAACGGACCAATGGATAAACAAATTATGGTATATCCACACAATGGAATACTATGCAACAACAAAGAGCAACAATGAAGCCGTGAAACATAACATGGAGGAATCTGGAGGGCGTTATGCTGAGTAAATTTAGTCAGTCACAGAAGGACAAATATTGTATAAGACCACTATTATAAGAAATCAAGAAAAGGTTTAAACACAGAAGAAAACATTCTT